CTTAAACAAATAAACAGGGGGCCAAGCTACTAGAAAAAAATCAAGAACTCTAAAGTTAAACATTTTTAAAGGGGAACTACTTCTATATAAAAACGTGTATTTAATAACATAAACATTTCTGGCTCTGCCACACATGCAAAGGCTTATTGGGTAGATTAATTAATAACCTCCCTCAATCCTCAAAAATCATAATGCTGGCTTTGATGATTTTGCAGGATTGAGGATGAAAAGCAATTGAACACGTTGAAGCAAATGATGATTTTGGAGGATTGAGGATGAACGATGGTTGGAGCTGATGATGATTTGGGAGGATTGGGGATGAATGTACTTACTGGTGTTCAGTGTATTTCATAGTTACTCTCCAAATGCATGAACAGGATACAGTCAGCCTGTAATTCATGTACACTGTGTACATGTATTTATCACTGTGTACCACTGGTTCAAGGACAAGACTCCCATTGCTTTAGCTGTTACTAGTTAGTCAAGGCTATCCCCTCGCTGCAATGTGTTTAGACCAAAATTTGATGATTTTGAAGGATTGGGGATGTGAGCACCACCCATTTTGAGCAAAGTACAAAAAGTTTGATGATTTTGGAGGATTGGGGATGAATGCATTTTTTTAAGTAGATGCACAGCAATTTGATGATTTTAAAGGATTGAGGATGGTGACCAGCAATTGGGACTTAAAGGGGTTAGGGTTAGGTTCATGCACACGTAGGCTGTACATGTATTTGCAAAACATGTAGATACATTGGATTGATCTGAGTTATACTACAGGTAGCAAAAATGCCCTTGAAATCTAGATATTACTTTGAAACAGCGGAGCTTTATTTCTAAATTCTCTAATTTCAATTACATTTGAAACAAATCATTCTTTCTACCACCAGACCACTGATTTCTCCTCCCCAACCCCAATGGATACACCTCAGCCATACGCTGTACCTGCCAACCATTCAGATTTTGGCAGAACTATTATGCGATTTTATTGTAGATTCCAAATTAGGAATTTCAGACCCGAAATTACAATTTTTAGAAATTTCTTAAAAGAAACGGCTGTAGCAGAGATAAGCCTAATTCTTAAAAACGGCTTGAGCGGAGGTTAACACAAGGCGCCTCAACAATCAGGCTGGTGCCATGCTAAAAAGTGTAGCCATCAAAGTCATGTCTCCGCTCACATCGACACATACGTTAGGGATATTTTTCGCGCGGCCGCGAGCGCGGTCCCAGTCACTTTTCAGTAGGCGACACGGTTTAGTACAGAACCAGTGCGCTCGCACGTGGAATGACGTTGGGTCGATTTCACTGCGTGCATCACGGTGCATGCATTTTTCAGAGTACTGTTTGCTGAATCTCATCGACTGAGAGCACAGTTTCAGAGAGATATCCAAATGAGCACTACAAGTAAAGAAAAGAGGCGCATTTTGTCGAAGTTCAGGCCGGAATATTCCCGGAAATTTCCGATACTGCCCTCATCAAAACTCGGAGAACATCACATACATTGTGACTTGTGTTCCACCGACTTCAGCTATTATCATTGTTAATAAAAAATCATCTAATCAACTGACTGAAAATTTACCACAATCGATCTATCCCTGCGTACATTGTCACTATTACGCAGCGCAGTACAGTTGTACACTGTACATTATTCACCATGCGTGGCCTACACACTTGAAAGCAGCCGCGCAGCACGCAGCGCTATGAGGGAAATCGATTTAGGACAGTGCTCACAATATGATTCTTTATATTTTGCACGCGCTGGGCACCAAGGATATCATTACTAAACTTTCTTGTACTGTAGTTAAATGTTACCATTATTTTTTTGTAGCTTCATGGTGAACTGTCTGTTGTCCTTGTAGATATAAAATTTTATGAAATTACATTGGATTTTCTGTTAAATTTATGTACTATACCTAATACATAATTACATATTTTCAGTCATTATAAACTAATAAAGTTCAGTGTAAAGTAAAACTGTGACTCTGTCGAACACTTTTCCTTAACGTTGAATGGACTAGGGGAAGTTAATTTTTGATGATCACCAGCTGTGTGTAGGCTAGGCCTACCTCGTGGTATGGGGTCCGGGGTTGTCACTGTCAGAAAAGTTGTCACGTCTTTGTCGCTACGCTGCTCGATTTCTGTACGCTAACTTTCTTTTATTGCATTAATTATGATATACATGTATTGTAATGCATGTCCAACCTGAATTAAATCCGAGAAAAATCAAACTTTTGACCTGGAAATCCCGGAAAAGTCATGGAATACAGCTCAGAGGCCACGAACATCATGTCTTCCATAATTGTAATGCTAGGTTATGAAGCTTCAAAAAACCTACATGTACGTGTGACATCAATTTTGAAATACTGCCTACTTTGGAATATTAATTTTAAGAAAAGTTGGGAAATTTGTCTTTTGATGCATAGTATTTGCATGCTACATTATTCTCAAAATGAAACATTACCTCATAACTGTCATTCACTACTCTGGATTTTGCTCACGACATTTATGCCCACTAATTGGTCATAAATCTCGTGCAAAACTGCTACCAAATAGGTTCAGATTGCACAAGAGAGCATCTTAAACCCCAGAGCTTCCAGGGCCCTTAAGCGGGTCCAGGACCACGGCCGTACGGGACTTCGCGCTACGCGCTCGTAATGTGTGCATGGAAAACGGCCACTACATGTACTTCTGTTCATTTGGGGCCTTTCTGAATTTTCATACAAGTTTCCAAGTTGGCAGGTACATGTTTGCTCAGCTAAGAACCCCAATTCCTCTTTTGGCATGCAACCAATCGCACAGGTCATCAAAGCGTTCGTAATGTTACGTCACGCTTTTGGGTGGAAAGGAAAATTATACATTTGCTCAAACTTTGAAAATGTAAAGATGTGAATATACATGTACCGGCATCTTTCATTTGTCCACAGGGTACCTGGGATGAATCAGATGAGGAAAAGAAAGAGGAGGACAAGCCACAAGAAGTAGGTACGTTCTCATCACAGACAATTTCTAAAATGTGTACGTTTGAAATTCACCTTGTAGTAAAGCTGCATGTGTAGTCGTTCGGAATGTTCAGCAAACCATTGGAAGCCTTGTCCATTCCTGTGGTACTTGATGCAGCGCCGATGTTCAAGTAGCACATGTACCTGTGCTTGTACAAGTTAGCATTTCTGCGTGTGGTGTCAGCGAACCTCTTGGCCGTTCGTATTCGTCTTCACACACCTGTTGGCGCCCACCGCCTGCATGGTTGTACACGTACGTTTATGCGTACTTGTGTGCTCAGAAAGGCTTGTTTTCGCAGCAGTCGCTTTGATTCAATGCGGGAAAAGTTCACTGACTGCTTAATTGACAGATGTGGTGCTCAAAAGTTAACATTGAATCAAACTTAATTCCTATTGAAGATGACACGATCACCACACTCGTCAAATGTTGAACTGCGAATGAGCTAAGTCTTGGGTGCAGGATGGGGAGTGCAGGATCGGGAAACACTCGGGCGCGTTCAATTTCACGTTCCGCTTGTCACATCGAGCAGAAACACGATGGAGACGGCAGCTGAGGAATTGTGTCAAAATCGACGACACTGATCCACCAAACCCAAAGTGACCAAGCTTTAACACTACACCATCGTGATTGACACATTCAAAAGCAGCTGACCTTTCAAGCTGAGCCACCCTCGCCTCATGACCACGCTCCAGAGCCGATTGAGTATTGTGGGTGATCGATAGGAGTGCATCATTTGTTCCAAGATTCTTACGATGAGCAAACGGATTGGGGGATAGCAGATGTGAATGCTCCAAATACCGTGACGGGTGGGCTGATTTCAAGCATTCAGAAACCTTCGCAAGTATTGGTGTGATGGAGATTGGGCGATAGTTAGTGACATTTGGTGAGAGAGACCCTCTGGGAATGGGAGTGATGTTGGCGACTCTCCAGCATGCAGGGAAAGACAAAGATTGTAAGGGGTACATGTGCGCCTATACACCACAGATACCTTAGGAGCCAACGCTGCCGACGTTTTTCCTGAAATAAAAGTGGGAACATGCCAAGTAGCTCAGTGCCCACCGTGAGGATCAAGGGCACGGAGAAGTTTTTCAACCTCTCTGGCCCTTAGAGCTATTTTAGTTGTAGCGACGGGATTGGATTGGATTGGATCACACCCTTGTAGCCCTACCCTTGCTCGGCATCCTTCAGTTGGTGGGTAAGTGAGGCGCCACCGTGCGGTGGCGGTTCACGAAACGTTCCGCCGCGGTGTGGATGTGCCTTACAATCCACCCACTCAGGACCCAGTGAGCGAGAGAATAAATCCAGAGCCCCAAACACACCATTTGGGGGAATTCAATTCTTCACCAACCACCCCGTTGTAACCGTTCTACAGTTGGGTGCCCTCCCCTTTCCAGCTGTGTCCCATCCCGGCGCTCGCTCCTTACCCCCCCCCCCCCCCCCGCATAGTCATACCGATAGACGGAACTACACCCACATCTACCTCAAGTCACAGCTTGTCCCAACTCAGCTTCGAGTCAAAGTGCGACATCGGGAGATCAGCTTTACCCTTCGCATTACTTATCAGCTCGCCACCTGCAAAAAAGCAAGGGTGGAAGCGGAGGTTTAAAGCGAAACACCGCTGACTTCAAAGTAGACTGCCATTTGTGTGGGTCGGGGGTCGCTAATAGTTTGCCCCTAACAGCAGTGAGATATTCATTCTCGGCACGATGATACAGTACGTTCTCTCAGTCAAATTCCTCGCACGCACATACTCCGCCCAAGATTCTCACGAGCAGCTCTACACTCTGCAGATAACCAGCCTTTACCGTTAGAGCGATAAGACACTTTTTGGTTTGGAGAGATGATGTCCTGTAATCAATCATTTAGGACGCTCATCGGATCAGCACTTTCAAGGATAGGTCCAATGTGAAACACGGATACATCTTCTGGCACCAAATCCCAATTCACACGGCCCTTCATAAAACATCTGTGGTGACATTACAAGGAGGAGTCTGCCTTAAGTACACGTATAATTTCACACTAATAATTGAGTGATCCGACGTACCCAGAAGCACATGTAAGTGTACCCACTTTGACAATATGTGACCAGCTCTAGAAAAACGGGTAATAAGTCACCAGATTCAGGTTATGAGTTTTTGACATGGCTGAATTCTGTACATCAAAAGCTACAATTTGAATGACCCCTGTAGTGTGCTGCATTCTGGAGGTACTTAGACATTTGTATATCCACATTTTCGGATTCAATTAAAGCACTTTTTGAGAAAAAGCTCCGAAAGTGTAGCACTTGGAAACACAATGCTATGTAGGACTTCCTACTGAATGATCCATTTTTCATCTTTATTCATCAATATCCATGTTTGCAGTCACAAATTCTGAAAATATAAATATTATAGAAGCTATTCAAGGATAAAACACAAAAATCACATTTTTGAAACAATTTTGACCTCTTCTAATAGAACAGACAATTACATGTACGTGTTCTGGCATTGGGTGACTTATTACCCTTTTTTGCAGAGCGGGTCACATATCAGGAACGTCAGAACAGACTAAATCAAGGCAATTGCCGGACTGATGAGTTGGATGTGAAACCAACTGAGAACTGCCAGAAACACGAGCAAAGTCGAGTGCAGCACGACCATGCATGTCTGTCGGAGACACAGAAGCGAGCCACTTGGACAAAGACAAATACGGCCTTGTGGTCATCTTGCTGCACAGTGGACATGGCAGTCACCAAACAATCATAGAGTCGTCACAATCAGAATTCTTGTGTGCACCAAAAATGTTTTAAAAAGTTAAACTTTGCTCACAGATGAACCACAACAAAATCGTGACAATCGCACTCATACATGTAGGTGACCTTCCTATGTGCCAAAGCGACTGCATAGATTTAGGGCACACATCATAATGCAACCAACTGTGCAAGCATTAAATTTGAGGTCATACCAAACACCAACGAAGGCATGAATATTCAATTTCTAGCACCTCAGTACATGAAGTTTTAAGGATGCAGATTACCATCGACGAATTGCGGCAGCAATTATAGGGTACAAAGGGGTTTCGTGGTTGTGAAACAGATGGTGCGTAGCAAGCATTCACTGCGCTCTGGCTATGGACATACCGGACATGCCAGAAAGCGATAATTGGCCAGATGTTACAGCCCGGGGCAGTTCAAACTCCTTCTGTGTCCTTCCTCTATGATTTAACCTAGAAGAGGTGGCTCAAGCTCTCCAGAGGTGACAGGCAGGAGAGGAACCTATTAGCAAGGGGCTGCCTTACTTAGGCGGGTGTTACCTCGCAATACACATCTAGATCTATGATGGACCCTCCCACCTTCAGTATCCACGCATAGCAACCCCACCCACTGCCACTGACCTAAGTCTTATAACTGGATTGTTGGCAATAGCTGTGTTACAATGGTCACAAGCCACGACGGGTAGCTGCACCTTGCGAAAAGATAATGGGAAAGGAGGAATAATGACCAACCACATTGAGGAGACGTGGAGAATCCGCCGGACAAACAGCATCCGAAGGCCCCACACAGCCGGCCGTTTCCCAGCAATTTAAGAGCCCCGGGCCCTGCCAGTATTTTCACAGGTCCACATGCTTGCAGGTGATGAAGGGACAATGACCCTGAAAGCCTGGTCAACTCCCATGCCCCATCGCTCAAAACTAAGAAATCAGTTCCCGTGTAATTGTAAGACATTGGAAGATGAGATGCGTGACTATGGCACCATTGCAATTTCCACTTCTCAAAAAGTCGCCATTGACCGACCAAAAGGTTCATCTGCCGACTCCACAAATGATGGGTGGCCAAATAACCAAGAAAAGCTTCATTATGATGCCCTGTACAGGTGTTAGTTTTCGGCCTGTTGGGTTCCCATCAACCCTCTCCTTGATGAATGGAGAACCAAGGGGGCTGCCAGTTTAGTCGCCGACAACTGACAGCTCACGTTGGCAGGGACGCTGCTCCCTGAAGTGGTTAATAACAGTCGGCCACTCGCTACCTCTAAGAAAAAAAAAAACCAATATTCATGTTTTCCGTTTCTTTACCTACTGGCATGACTGGTACCCTACACATACTCACAGCACATGCATGTACGCCGTATTTTGATGAGGGAACCCTACGGGAAAGTGTGACAGTGGAAATGTTTTTTTTTATTTTGGTTTGAATGTGGTGCAGAATGTTAATGGAATTATTTATGCATGCAATAGAGTGTTGTTCATTTCATTTGAAACAAACGGCATTCGTTCTCTCTTGCTTTTATTCGTTACCAGTTAGCAATTGCACACTAAAATCAGTGTGAAAAAAAGGGGGAAAAAATCCCAAAACAATTCCTACAGGGTACCGGGTACAGGGTACCGGTACATTGTACGGGGGCCAGTACACTGTGCAGGGTACCGGTACATGTACATGTACATGTGTTCCGGTATGTATGTACATGTACATGAACCCAGTTTTCGGATGCCATGTACACATAAGAAGACCTATTTTTGGCCTGAGTGTACACATAAATACATACATGTGCTTGGCTGGTCTTCAATGCACGTTTAAGACCGGATCAGGAGAATGGACGCAAGTTCTTCCTGAACTGCAGGCAAGGACATTGTCAGCATTCAGACTCCTGAGTCAGTCTCAAATGTTAGTTAAAGACTGGCAGTGCACATATTTATTCCCATTCATAAAAACCTTTTTTAGTCAGAGAGTCAAAAGAAGTCAATACATGATGGATTTCCAATGATATTTTTCTAGAATTTTACTTTCATTTTCCCGATCACCCCCGTCCATTTTATGGTATATTCCATGTTCATGTTGTCCAATAGAATCTTCTTGTATGGACCTGGCGTGCTTGGCGAGCCGCGTGCACACTTTACTCGTGACCAATCAAAATTGATTAAACTGTCTTAAATCCAGGTGCCAGCGCACGATTTACGCTGCGGGCATTTTCACTTCTCAGCTGGCATTATCAAATGTTAATACCCGGTCAGGTCACACGTTGTTAAATAGGGAGGCTGTCGATGGTCCCCTTATTTATGAATGTTTTTTCTGCTTAGCCACGATTATTTCATGCAGTATGTGCGTGTGCAGCCCTGGTTCATGTGTAAACCTATTTGTTTTTGTCGTAGTTAAAGCAATTCAGGTGAAGAAAAAGAAGAGTTTAGAAGCAACGTTGAAAGCCAAAGAAGAAAAGAGGAAAAAACAGTTGGAAGAGAAGAAACAGAAAGAGCAGGTAAAAATGTGAAGTTCAAACAAAAACTTCATCAGTTTCCCCAGTGCTGTTATTTTTCTGCCAAGTCAATTGGCACCACTATAATTCCCTTCAAGCACATCAACCTAAACCCCATGAAGAATACAATCTTGCCAAGACATCAAACACATAAACCTCATCGGCCCTACTTATAGCATCAACCTGCCAACCAGTCAAGTCCAGTAACCTCGTTAGCCCCATCAACTGCATGAAGCTCATCAACGCTACTAAATAACACCGTCAACCTGCCAACCCCAACAAACCCACAAACCTTGTCAACCCCATGAATTGCACGAACCTTGTCAACTCTGCCGACACACTCCACCTGCCAACTCCAACATTCCATAATAACCCTTTTAAGAGACATCACCTCATGGTTATGATTTATGGCTGTGTCCAAATCTGTTGTCTAGAGCTAGGTCTAGGTCGTCATTCCGTTGGAAATATGCAGGGATGCGCAGACAGAACATGTAGACCTAGCCGTAGCTCTGGAAGCCCATTTTGGATTCAGCCTGTGGCTCTTACTCATAGGATTGTGGGTTGGTATCCAACAGCTGCTTACATGCTGCAATCTTAGGCATATTACTCCAGCCCAATCCGCCTTGAGCAGAAGCACCCCCTCATCGGTCAAAAGGAGCCATGTTGGTGGGGAGTTTTCGTTTTGTTGGCAGCAACATGACTGTGATACTTGCAGTTTTATAATCGTTTTTCAACCAGCGCAGTGCGATTCCCACTGAAGGATACTCCGTCACAAGGAAAATTGCACCCTCCCTTGGTCCTGACTCCAGGAAAAGGAAGCGGTTCACCGTCCTACAAATCGTCCATGCTATCATCCTGCCTAATGTCCAATTCCAGCATCCTTGTCTATTTATTCGGTGTTTTTTTCTATTTCAATCGCATTTTCTTTCACTCTCCCCTCTCCTCTAGGAACAGGTAGAGTTAAGTCAAGAAGAGATTCTCGCCGAGAAACTGAGGCAGCAGAAACTCCAAGAAGATTCAGATCTAGAGCTGGCGAAAGAGGCATTCGGTGAGCCAAAACGAGATCTTGAAATTCACTTGCATGTACAGATTGAGGATGCGAATGTGGTCCTCTTGACGCAATGCTGATTTGGCCAGTGCGACAAACTCGAACGGGTCCAACAAACTTTGGCATGTTCACTTGTCCAGGTGTAACGGATGACATTAAAGGCAGGATAGACGCCATGCAGCCCCAGACGGCGGAGGAGTTTGAGGAATTCGCCAAGCTCTTGAAGGAGAAGCTCCAGCAATTAGAGAAATCACAGCACTATGTAGATATGCTCGACAATGTGTTTCAAGGATGCAGCTTAAGTTGTAAGTAGCAGATCTGTTAGACCCTAGGATGCAGAGATTAAACATTAATGAGGCCAGTCCACAGCTGCTGTTTTGTGTCTCCAAAGAACATCTTTTTTTACCCAAAAATCGCAAACCAGGATTCCAGCTCTGGTTATTTTTTTGTACCCGCAACTACGTAAAACTCACAAACCAGGAATCCAATGCTGGTTGGTTTTTTTCCCCACGACTTGTATTGTCACAGTCAATGCATCAAATCTTGTCAGACATTTCTACATCGGAGACACAACGTGGCCCTTTTTTTGATCACCCAGAGCTTGTAAGCACCCTTACCTGAAACAACTTTGAAAGGTGGGGCGTGAAGAAGTTTTGTTGTTTTAGCATTCAGCAAAAACCCATTTTATGCTCGCGTCTGCATTTGAGTAGAAAAAGTAAATAATTGCCATCTTTATGGATTTCTTCAATTGACAGTGGAAGCAGATCAAGTCAAAAGACTAGGAGCAAATTTAACCGCGATATCTAACGAGAAAGCAAAAGCACTGAAGGTGAGTTCCTTCACAGTCTAGGAATTTGCAGAAGTTGTCCCGTTGGCCCCCAGCCATCATGCACCTGTGAGAATGTACTGTACATGTAACTCTGGGGTTTGACTCGGTTTGGATAGGATCAGTGCTCAGGGCCTATCAGCTCTGAGTGGAACAGAAGAGGGTGTGGCTTTTTTTTTTGGTACTCACCACATAGGCGCACCATGAGTCGCGCAAGTATACGGGCATTTGACGCAGAGCACAGTGAGTAGGCGTAACTAATTTACTCCGGCGTGCAAGGACCCACTTGTAACCGCATGTCTTTCTTTTGCCCATTGGGGGTGCACTTCAGCCCAGGTTGGATTACTTTGCGTGAGCTGAATTTCCTAATTTTAACAAAGAAGCACAAAGAGTGTGCCTTGTTCTTGGACAGTGTCGAATTTTAGAGGATGCCCAGGAAAAATCTGTAGTGGACTCGACTGGGACACAGTTGTTGAAGGTGGCAATCTCAGGACCTTTGCGGCAACAGATCTAAGGCGTTCTTTTGGTCACCAAAAATATCGGCATCTAGAAAAACTGCTGCCTCCCGGACCCTACGAAAGCCTCTTGGAGCCGCCAAAGTTTGAATATCATCTTATGGCTCAAGATCAAAGAAAGAAATGGTCTCTGAATGGAAGCAATTTTTGTGGGATTCAGCTGTCAGTAAGCTCCTGTCTACCTAACCTCAGCTGACGTAACTGAAAAAAGTAATTGTGGTTTTCATATTCATGGAAACGCGCGGCAAAGAATGGGGAGCGGAAAGTGACTTGTCACAAAAGTGACGTCGAAAACGGGCAGTGTTGTGTTTCACCTCCAGCTACACCACAGGGAGGTCATACCTCTCACTCACTCTTGGGTACATGTATGTCTATAAATAAGGGGCCTGATTGTTTCTTGTCCCTGTCACGTCTGACACAGGATTTTGAAAGTTCAGAACACATCTTCTGATTTAATTATATATAACAGTTTTGCCCTTACCCGTTGTATATTAAATAAGCANCTAGTGCAGATGTCTGAACCATTCGACCACCGAGCTTGCCGGGGTCGGTTGGCCGGTCCGCGTCAAGTGAAGCAGCGGGTACCGCGAACTATTTCTGATTTCCAAGAGTGATGAATTAATGCATACTACCTGCCAAACAAATAGAAATGCATGTAGATGGAAAACAATTTCAGGGATGTTTCCTTGTCAAATTTCACAGGTCAGGCGTAACAGGGTAACAGGTGTGAAAATGTCCCACTTTTGGACCCCAAATCTATAGAATGACCCTCTTTTGTTGCATCGTTTCAATGCTGATTTCTATTCCAGGCTTCCAAATCAAAGAAGAAAGGTAAAAAGGCGGCGTTAGCGGGTAGCGGGAAGGCCGGCAAAGGTCTGGATGACTATGAGGACGCTGGCTATGACGACATGGATGATTTCATTTGATGCTTACAATCGAGGTATTTCTCTCACTGAGAACATACGGCAATATAGATCTATTATGTAAAGTTGACTTGTATTTTGGTTTTTCTAAAATATAAAAATGAGAAGCTGAGTAAAAATCGGTTATCATAGTGCTGCGCTGCAAACAAACAAACAAACAAACAAACCAAGTCGGGATGAGGTTCTTGAGATAGTCGGGAGTACAGTGTAGAGAGGCTATGTGTACATGTATGTCCATTTCGGAGATATTGTTGGTTTGTCGCAGGCACCGTTGAGCCCAGAGTGCCCGCGGAAAGTTCCCTGTCTCCGCAGTTAGAGTTTGAACAAACTATAACAAATTCGTACTCCGACTTTACTTTGCTTTTCTACAGACATGTACGTAAACCCTCTTAAAGGTTTGTGAAATGTGTAATTCAGGAACATTATAGGGCAAGTTGGAGCGTCAACTCTAGTTACCCTGGGGTTGACCACTGTGAGTGGACGGTTGGACTGACGTACATGTAAGCACTGGTAGGTCACCAGTTGCCACTAGACACTGGGGCACGGTTGAATCAGTGGATTTCAGAATCCTTGTTCATCTTTTCAAGTGCATGCACAGAGAGAACCGTGAAGATGTTTTGAGTGCATTAACTGATTCGACAAAGGTCTGCAGAAGTGGACTTCCTTGCACATGCGCATTGGGACGAAGAAAGCGATTGACCAGTGGTGCAACTTTAGTTCGCGCTCTAACTCGCTAGATTTTTGGGTACAGAATCGCCGCACATGTTCGTACATCCGTAGTTATGGCAAGTACATGTATGTTGCTAGCCAGTGTGTGCAATAATCGGCTCTGGACTGGTGGGCTTTCTTATCAGTAGGTGCGGTAGCACAGTACTTCACCCATAACCAGAGACCTCCCCGGTAGTGCCAGGATATTTGGCGAACTTCATCACAAATGTCACTTGTGGGGCGTACGCAAAACACTATTGCTGAAAAGCCTTTGTATGTCCTGCTACACGTGCACACGACCCAACCGCAACAATTACAAATTTGAAGGAAAAAAAAAAAGCACACCAAAAATACAACTTTGGAATCTTTACAAAAGCCCTTTTTCAGCCCAATGTGAAGTGTGCCCTCCATGTGGAAAATGGGTGTGCCGATGACGAGAAGGCGCCGCAGGAAGGCACGTCAAAAAATTTGCCGGTGAAAACAACCAAAAAAGTCCCAAAACTCTGCCCGTTGTGTTTCGAACGAGTGCGGAGAGACACTGCGCCCCAGTAACAAGTGGTCATTGTTTTTATCTGTCTGTGTCATTCGAATCGCTTGTTGGCAATCCGGAATTTTGCGTGTTTCCCGTCTCGGCCAGCCACAGTGACCGTTCAAGTTTATTTTATTTTGAGAACAACTTCTCTTTCCTTAAAATGGGGACAAAGCAATCACAGCGAGAACAAGCTGCCACTTAAGGTAGCTTGTTCTCCCCCCTGTATGTAAGTAATGTACTGATTTCCCCCCCCCCTCTATAAGGACTTATAAGGGGGGGGGAAATCAGTACATTTAGCTCAAAAATTTAAATAATAGTCGTGGACTTGTTGGCATAAATCATTCGCCATTTTGTATAAGTAGGCTTGCTATCAGCCTGTAATATAAATGAAACAAAACAGTGCTTAATTGTACATAAAACTCACATGTCAAGATCGGTAATTGAAATATCTCAAATACGTGAAGCATGTACACTTTTATTGTGAGTTGAAAACTGGAATATACATGTAAATTTTCCATTGTGTCTATGACATCTCCTCGTGGCGTACACACAGGCTACCTCAAGGTCTCAGAAAGCAAGTTCATGCAATGTTTGGGAATTACCCGGGCATACATTTGCATAACTCATCAGTTAATAGTCAAGGGTAGACAGTCCAGTAAACTCAGGCCATTGTTGCTGTTAGGTTTCCTGGAACAGCTCTTCGTGTCTTGCGTTTAGTTTTCTCTGTCGTAAGCCGTATCATTTCTAGTTTATACAAAAGTGCATCCTAATTGCCGCTTGCCACTTATCCAGTTGCTCTTTAGAATTGAAGTGGTGTAAAGTTTGGGGGTTTTACCTGCCTATTTTGTTGAAAGATGCCACAGTCTTGTTCAATCTACAGTAGTGCACATCACTTTTATTTAACCCTGCTTTTGCTGCACCAGTCATAGACAGTCAAAAATGCCTTCCACTTGTCCCTCTAGAGTACAGGGACATACATGTATCATAATGTCATTGACTGATGTCGACGGATAGGATAACTGTGTCAAGAATGCATCTTTGCATAGGAGGATAATGGTTTGCTTTTGTGTTTACTCCCTAGTTATTATTGCAAACTAAGGCAACTAGAAATGCCAGGACCTGAACTGTTCTTGTTCATTTGTTGCTTGATGGTCGACAGTTGTCATCATTCTTGTCTTTAGTATCCTGTATTTGTGTAGGTTGAACACAGATGCAATGGTGTGTCTGGCTGTCACTGCACATGTATATCGGAGCAACGTTCAACATGTTCAATTCTGAAACTTACTGACGCAATTTCTGTGGAAAAGCCACTTTGAAAAAAAAAAAACAATTTGTACTGCCATTTAAAGTTTCTTACTGTACATGTATTCTCCTACTTGTTTGGTAAGAGTCAACTGGTCTCATGATCTCCCCAAAAACCGCACCAAATATTTCACCCGTCAAATGCTGGTACTACGGTGGATGTTGACGTGTCTGTGCTGAAGCAAAGATTGCATGGTGCTTTTCTCCCACATTAAGTGCACTTTACCGTTGTCTAACATGTGCTTGCCTGCTGACAGTGTGGCTATTGTGAATGGGGGCGGGGCCATACCCCCTCTTTTCTGAGGAGGATAATAAAAGGAATTGTTTTTAATTTAAATCATTTCCCATCCTTCCAAATCATTGAAAATGACCCAAAATGTACAAATAGCTTCAAACGTAAGTGTTACCCTCAGAAGGGCCATAAAATTAATATCCAACAAATCTGAAACCACCCTCCCTCCCCATTTTGGCCCCCAAAACTTTTGTTCTCGTCCACCCTCAATCCCTACCGAACTCCGTCAGCAAGCAATTCCGTCTGTTTTTAGTGGTGGTTGGTCGATTTGTGTCATGGGGGTGGCAAGTTGAAACAGCACAATTTGAGCGGTCCATCGTTTGGAGAATATTTGATCATGTCCAAGTAATAAAGTTATGTGTAACAACAACTTGTGGTACGTATGCAAGTCATCCGTTTTTGCATCATGTAATGTTGGTTTAACCTTAAAAGGGTCAGGGGCGGAATCCGCTTCCCCCCCTACATTTTCCGATATCGCCGCAGTGTTTTCTTCAGGAACTGAGCCTTCAGGGGTGCGTTGGAGCGAGCTACTCGCGTGATTACACGAGTCTACTCCTGACCGCTCGAACGGCTGGAGTACGACCCGAGGGTTGGCGAGAGTATACTCTCGCTATAGGGGAAGGGTATACTCCTGTATAACCCTATATGCTCCCGAGTGTAATGCGCACGCGTCCTACTCGTGTTAACAGGAGTAACCGCGCAAACGCACCCTAGGAGTAGAGTATTTTGTATGAACAAGGCCAATTTTTCCGAGACGTGACAGCCAAATATATCACATGCGCTTTTTTCCACTGCCGTGCTCAATGCACGCGGCTGGCTCGTGTGTAGCATTGAACTTTGAATGGTCATAACAAAAAAAAAACATACGCCTGATTGGTTTCAAACGTCATAAAGAGTATTTTTATAGTCATAAAATTCCCCCCCCCAAAAAAAAATCGAGTTTGGCAAGGCCGAGTTCTTAAGGGGACGGAATCCCTCTCCCTGGCTGTGAGATGGGCCAAAATTGCCCGGCTCATTGAGGGTTTTAAGTTCTCTTTGAAAATGAATACAAACATTGTGAGATTCAGTAATTTATATACAAATATCGTGTACTGTATATTTAGTCTAATGATGTCATAGACTTTTTTGATGTCTATGAATGGGGCACGTGGCATTAACAAAGTAGTAATCAACAGAGGGCGGCAAGTGAGCTGCATCCGAGCTGCACTGTTAATTGACGATACTCAGTCCGGGGACACGCTGGCAGTAGTTGGAGCCGTAGCTCATTTCGGACATGGCCTCGGCTTTGTCTCCATCTTCGTCCTCAGTCTTCAGTAAAGTCCCAGAGTTGAACCGTGAAGCCAAGCAGCAGTAGGAATATCAATTGTAGGCTGATGGAACCTTGAGGCAACGACTTGGTAAAAGCCCAGGGCTAATGAACGGCGCATCACTGGGTCATGATGTACCCTGCTCACTAACATTAAGATATGTTTTTTTTATCAGGGAAACTTGGTTTAGCTCGTAGATAGGAATGGATTTGAGATGGACTGAACCTCAGTGGTCCATTATTTAAAACGGCGTTTCTCATATTCCTCTATAAAGAAGGCTGACAGGAACCAGACTACTGCACATGAGAGCATGGTACCTCGTGTCGCCTTAGATTCATGAGCTGTGAAAGCACTTCTCGGGACCCACTTGGCTTTGTTTCCCATGGGTCATTTGTGCTCCAAGACGAAAGCCAATCTCATGCCTATCTTGTTGACCATAGGAAAGTGGCACGTAGATCTATGGGTAAATGTAAGTCTGTGGGCGCATGTGCAGTTATTTGGCCGAAAATGTCTGCCACATTCCCATAAGGGCTTAACAGACCGAATTGTGTTTTCTACGGTGGTTGTATGGAGAGAGTGGTCACCTGTTTTTTGTTTTTTTTCCGAAATGGCCCCATGCTTAAAGGGACCTACAGATCTAGACCGTTGTTTGTTGTCGGTAAATATGTCATGTGGACACTGCTTAAGATGTTACTTTACTCTTGACTTTACTCTTAAAATTGCCTTTTGATTTTCCATTAAAATGAGTGAATTTGAGCAGATATGTACTTCTTTTGCATATTGTAAGTTGCTGGCTCGCTGCCTGACTAGCTCTAACAACACCCCCCCCCCCCAGTCAGCCCCGTTGGATCCATCCCCAGACCCTTAACCCCAGTCCTGAACTGTTGGGCGATTTTCATCAGTGTGACTATGTTTTCCCACAAAAAAGCAACTCGTCATCCTGACTGTGTTTTGTCGGCTGGGCAAGCAAGAACATGCTATTGCGCCTCTTACAAATCGTCTTCATACAGGATGGCGAAATTATGTTTCAACTTCTACTTTTTAATAGACGACTTGTAAAATCTTGTTAACGTAACAATGATGACATCCGAGGAAAGAGATTATTTAGTGCTGCCTGCAATGAATATGTCCCGTTCGATTGACCCTGATAACTGTTTACGCCTGCTGGTACATCAAAATACAGTCCCAAAACTGAATCAGCCTTGGAGATGCTGAGTCAATTCGTCCACAACTTTGACGAAATCTGGCGGCCTTCTCAGACACGAACGAAACCTCAGACGCTGTGAGGCCGCTCCCTGTTACGGTCCCCAGTGGCACGTCATCGGACGATTCAAAGTAAATCTACTTGCCAAGATAAGGATCCGATCGGAAAGGGGCACCTGTCGTCACGATGAGTCAGACCAAAAATTCAATCTCGAGCCACACTGAGGCGAATTGACACAAGCATTTGCGCATTTGCCCCATTGCACGAGCTTGTGTAATAAACGTCCGTAGTTATCTGGAGTTCAAAGCCCAGGCATTTGTAGAGACAGGCGGTGATTTTCTAGTTCACAAGAGCAAAGGTGAGTGTATACCAGTTTCCTTTGTATTTCTTTTGTGACGTAGGCGTAGCCGAGGGGACAGTAGAAAGTAAGGCCGAACGCAAACTGCTACAATTTCTAAAGCAAAATCGAGTCGCTGATAGAAGTAAACAGAATATAGTGAAATGGACTGTAAACAAAATGTGGTTTTCTCCGAAGTGTCAAGCTTGTTTGAAGAGTTTTATGACAATCGATATTGTACCGCCTAGTACATCAAATATGCATCAAGAGATTTCAAGGCGACTGTCAAGTTTCGCTCCATCAAAAGACTTTAAGATGACAGACATTCAAAGCAGACGTGTATTTTTAACTTTTCTCGTTTTGTTTCAAACTCAGGGCAGTCGGAAATAGAGCAATCTCCAGCTCTCTCATGCCAAGAGGAAATGAATACAGGAAAGGCTCGATTATTATTTCGTCACATTTAACGTACCCAAAATAATGGGCTATTGACGGTGACACCGTCGGCGCCTGGGTCGTGTAGATTCTATAATTATATATACATGTATACTTTCTCAGCCGTTGGAGGAAATTCAGGAAAGTGCGAAAATGTAAGCCTTTGAAGTTTCATGGTGTAGTCGACTGATAGGTCCTTCCATGCGCTGGACGCGGGATAAAGCCATTTTTTATCACTTTCTCACCCACGTTCAATTCTTGTTTCAGACACATCGAGAGGGCGCTGCACAGAGAAGGGAGCCGCAGTAGCTGTGATTCTTTTCACCATGGGGATGCGAGACTGTGCGAAGAGTGTTCTTTTCATTTTCAACCTGCTGTTTTTCGTGAGTATTAAGTTCTTCGATAAAGAAACGATGTCAGGTGCTGATACTGAGTCTGGTGAAATAATAACTTAATTGTGGGCATCGTTACCGCAGAGCGGGCACATCGACAAAATTATTTTAAGAGTCGGGGAGCAGGTTGAAGGACGAAATCCTCTGTTCAATAAAATGAAACCCCGCACAAACACAAGTCTACATTGTCTTTCCCTCACGAACTGCCTTTACCCAACCACTGAGCCGTGGGACGGGGTAAAGGGAACCATATCCTCCAGCAGTTGATTTGGGAAAAATACTTTTTCAGGATTTCGGAAGACTGTTTCACTTCCCTTCTTCCTGAGCGTTTAGAAAACCCCGAAAATGTGGCCTCACAGTGTGAAAGCCTTAAAAGATTATACAGAAAGAAATTTCGACAGATTTTGGTCCTACTTCCCACACGTAATGGTTCTGGATCTACCCCTGAGCCCATTTGAGCAAAAAAATGCATGTACAAAAATAAATTCAGAAACATTATTCTGTCTTTCTTCCCCAACGCCTATGCACGAGGAAGGGTCATTTTGTGATCCCCTGTTTTAGATCAATCTTCGATCAACCCTCATGTTTCGCTCGTAATGATAAATGCGGAAGATCGTTGGGGGGGCACGCTTCGTCTTTTCTTACTTCTCGCTGCGTGACAGCAAGTTGATGAAATGAATTCAGGGGCTGATTGTAGTCAATGGGGGGGGGTGCAGGAGGAAAGTTGTCCCCGAAGTCATGTTGCCAGTCTTTAATGAAATCGCCGGCTTTTTAGAAACGGGACTGACGCCTTTCCGTGGGAAGGGTATGGCGCTTTTGCAGATGAAGAAATTGGAGAGTCATTTTTAGGGAACAAAATCTGTTTTGCCCCTCGCCTTGAAACAAGACATGGATACCAATATTCAAAGAGGGTGTTTCGGAGATAAAAATGGGATACAACTGATTTTGTCCGTAACTATATACATGTAGATCTATATTTGAAGTCATTTATCTTATAAGAAAACATATGCATACGGATAACATTTTCAAAACTCACTGAAATCTGAAAGGGGAAAGGAAATTGGCTTTGGCAACTGTTGTGTTGAAGATGGTGATGATCTTGATTTTGGTCATGGTGCGTGGCGGTGCTTGAGGCGCTGATGGTAAGGGCAGGGATGACATAGTGACAGTGGTGACGGATGGGTAAGGGGGTTAAGGTTTAAGGGGGTGTGGGGATGACGTCGGTGGTTATAACGTCACGACGAACATGAATACGACAGTGACACTAAGAATTTGGAGTGACAATGTTCATGACGATGATGGAACTTGAAGAAGGAAATCGGGCGAAGAATGTCAACCCTATTATTGTCGTGATTTCTCTCACGTCCGTCACAGATGACCGGGGTGGCTGTGTTGGCCATCGGTGCCTTCCTGTACAGCCGCGAGGGTCCTTTTGCCACCCTTCTTCCCAGCCTGCCGTTCCTCAACGTGACAACTATGACCATGATCGTGGGCTGCGTCATCATGATCGTCGCTTTCCTCGGCTGCTGCGGTGCCATGAAGGAGAACGTGTGCATGGTTTCTACCGTAAGTAACCGTTTATTGTGCATTCTTACACGGCCGTTACTCATGTACTTTAACAGGTGCACAGTTGAGAAAATGTCAAAGAAGGATGTTACTGGAATTATCCCAAAACACGTGAGCTGCGTGCATTTTTTATCCCAAAACACGTGAGCTGCGTGCATTTTTTTCTGCATAATGGCTTTAAAGTTACACCGCATAGTTTTCACTGCTAACCCCAACAATTGGATGTTAATTGAGGTGATTATTCGGCATCAGAGTTTTAAAGAGTAAATGTAGAAGCAGATGCATCATTCTGGATACTACATCAGTCAGAGTGCAAAAATAAACCTTTTCAACATTCTCATTGCATCACAGGGTTGAATGACAAACAAGCCATGCATTTTAACATCGCTTCGTAATTTTCTTTTCTTTGGGATATTTAATTGCCTAATCATCAAGTCGAATAAAATGCAGATAGGTACATCGTAAACACACAATACTTTTGAAATAAATAGCCAATTTCTTAAAGTATTTAAGAGGAATAGATTGCTCTTAAATGGTACCAGACACTATAAGCTGAAAAATTAACGTGATCGGTCCATTCTGGACAAAAGAGTTTCGGATCCTGTTTTTGATTAGCTAATAGTACCGTGACTCATTGACAGTCCAAAATGATCAGTGCACCAAGAAGACAACTCATGTTCATAAAAAATTATTCCCCAGCTGTGTGATTTTTCTCACTTTCGTTTTTCTTCTTTATCTTCCAGTCCCATGATGCATTGAGAATACTGAAAAGGTTTAGTGTTTGAATTTCAGAATGCAGACAGATTTGAATTTCAGAAATATGTAGAAAGAAGGCTCCAAGCTACAACCAAAGGTTTGGTCTTTTCCTCTCGGTCAGTATTTTATCATAATGGTGGCAATCCTGACGGCGGAGCTGATAGCTGGTGGGCTGGGCTTTGCTAACAGGAACGCGGTGGAGGCGTTTATAGAGAAGGACCTGACCCAGCGGGGGATCCCTCTGTACGGTACGAAGGGCGAACATGGCCTGACATCGGCTTGGGACAGAATGCAAACTTCGGTGAGTTTTATCCCCATGTCGTACTTGATACCTGTCTCTTCAACTTTAAATTATAAAATCATTTGGGTAATTCAGTTACCTAAAGTGACGTGCACCCGACAACCAAAGGCTAATTCCGTCCAAGAGGTAAAAGGGGCCGTGATTCTTTAATGAGCCCGGAGTGCCACCACAAGAGGGCGCAATTTTCCTAGCAACGGATGCTCCTTTGGTAGGAACCGCGGTACTCCGCTAATTACAAACGACTCTAAAATGCGCCGGTGCGTTGCGGTCAAGTAGCTGCCAACAAAAACGAACACTCCCAACCAACATGGCTCGTTTTCTACAGGTGAGGGGGTGCTTCTGTTCAAGGCGAATAGAGAGGACAGGGTTTGACCGTTTCATTTCCGTTTCTCCCTTATCATGTAAAAAAGAGTTTGAAATTCCACTTCATGTTCCAGAAATACCGTGATGAGTTTACAAAAAGATATCCTTTCTTCCTCCCCCGATAATTTTTATGCGCTCTTGCACATCTTATTCGTATTTTTCCCATGCCCCGTAAAAAATATCCCAAACGTGGGCATAAAAGGGCTTGGGTGGAGTCTTTCCCGAATACATTGGATTCTCTGTTACAGCTACACACTTAACTTTTCTTCGTACGTGATGTGACGTTTCACGCTTAGATCGACACCAGTTTTGTGAGCTTTTAGTGTTCGTTCGAAATGTTGAATCTTGACGTACGGCACCTAAATATTTTTTTTAAGTTTTCGTTTACCGTTCCGAGCAAAACGTGTTGATTCAAAGCCGGTAGTGCGGAATACCATGGCGTCCAATACAACATAATGCTTGTTTGAATGGGTTTGGAACTTTGCTGGTGTGTGAAGTACATCTGATGTGTCGGGACTTGTGGCAAAATTTGAATAGCACAAAATGAACGTTTAAAAAATGCAGATTGTAAAGCAATTTCACGAGGTGATGACAGATTCTATCGTCGTTAATTATTCTTTCCATTAAAGGAATGTGAAAAAAACATTTATTGTGTTCGTTTTATACAATGTCTGAATAAGTTCTTTCTGTTTATGCAAGTCACCTTCAGCTGCACTCGTTATACGGTTCAGGGTAAAATTCTGGCACCAACTCGTCGTGTTCCGAGTTACTCATAATCGTGAAAGTTGTTTCCTATTAGAATCATCAGCATCACTATAGGCCTATCGAATTCAGAAATAATTCATATCAGAAGACCGATACGATGGAACAGTGTCCCGCGTTTATGGCTATCGTACGCCATTTCATCTGCATAAAGATTCGCGGCCGTGCCTGTTGCGCATGAGTAGTTCAAAGTTCAGCAAAAGTACACCGTTTGATATAACAATATGAAACATTATGCAATAACAGAGACTGAGTTGTATTAAATTTGCAAGTGCACGGCTGACCGTCTTATGGGGGTTGCGGCCTTCTGCGCATCGGCTGTGAAAATGACAGTAATCAAAATGAAAACACCTTTTTTGGAATTTATAACTGGCTTACTAGAACTCCTATTAAAAAGGCTGGGAACCAGAATACGGGTGTGGTAACTATGCAAAGTAGCAGATACTTAATGCAATCTTAATGGTCCGTCTAAAAACAGCTGTCTTGCTGTGGCGTCAACAATTCAACCGATTGGAGTCGATTTCATCCCCTCATGACCATACCGGGTGAGACGCCAGATTCCTGTTGTTCCGAGCATCTTGTCACGGCTTGTGGCAGGGACAATGACGTCAGCAAGTGGGAAAAGGTGGGTGAATACAGCGTTGACAACAAGAATCGATTCATTGTCTTTGATTTCGGATTTCTAAATCAAGGTGTCGATAGTGGTATCGACAATATTGCTAAGTGGCGAAGTGCGTACTCGAGTCCTACATTGGAACCGGAGTTTCATTTACTCCCCTTGATGTAACAGAGTCACAGAGGCTGCGTGGGTGTTGAAGTTTTTCTGCATGCACGCATGCCTGTAGTCTGGACTCTCAAGAACTACTTACCGGCATCATCAAGTACCACTGTCACACGTTGATGCCAAATGAGCCCATTCGACTCAACAGCAGAAGTTACGGTATTTGCTATATCAACAGGGGCATAGTACAGTGCCCACTCAAATCTTGAATGTCTCCTTGAGGTAAAGAAAAGAATTTCGGTGCATTGTTGTCTCCGCCAATACAAGAATGCTAGACGAAAGTGTAAATGGCTGTTACATATTTCTGGAAGAGGTCGTTATTTAACTTTTATACCTTCGCAGGTTCGTTGACACGGGTCATGATTTTGATGCAGTCGCTGATATTATTCCTATTATCTGGTGTCGTAATTGTTTTTCTTAGTAACTTTTTCTGCGAGACGAACAAGTGATTTTTCTTATTATTACTTCCAAGGGTTGCAAGGAGGTCCTAAATGGCGAGATAAAGAGTCACATGGGGGTTGTGGCAGGAGCCCTCATTGGTGTGGGAGTGTTTCAGGTAAACTTTCTGGTACATTTCACAGATCCTTGTACTGACTGGACGATGCGCGGGTGCCCATCGCTGAGTGAATAAGCACACTCAACAATCAACCTCGATTACGTGGGCTACGTGCGCGTTCCTTCACTTGCGTTAGATCGCATAAGGCATAGTGGGAACCAACATGGGGCCGCAAGATCGTACTAATAAGAACGAGGTTGCTTAAAGATTGGAAACTTTGAGCCGTTCAATTTGGTGAGCATGCGCTCCTTGTTCCGAGCATAGATGCACAGTTCTGAGCTCGCGCAATACTGTGGAAAGGACTGATATGTCTGCTACCGCCAGTCTCTCAAATTCTCTCTTTGAGACCTCTTTAGCTGGAGTTTTTTAAAAGATGACCGACACAGCATGCAGTGCTGAACGACACAACAATTTTCTTTATCTAATTTTTCAAATTTTGAAACAATTGTTTTGATCGATAATTGAATATTTCGTTGATTAAAGACACAGATAATTTCGTCTGAATACCCCTAAAGTAAATAAAATTAAACTGTGCGCGCATGAAACGATCTGTAAAAGTGTCCTGACACAACGGCTTGCTGTGATTAAGATTTCGAGCCGCGGGGCCGGTTTCAGAGTTTGTTGAGGTCACAAGGGCATTTAAACCTCCAAAGATGGCGCCTAAAGGCCTACAGCTTTCGGTCTCTAAGTTGGCTGACCGGTATGAGCGCAGTGCCAACGTAATACTTGACTGTAATAAAACGTGTCACTTTTTTTACAGGGAGAATCTTGTTTTCAGCTCCATGTATAAGTTGCAAAGATATATCTCTCTTTTCATACAACTTGCAGCATTAAAAAAAATTGCATGCTGATTTAAAGCACATCATAGCAAATGTTCTCATATTCTCACTTGCAATGAGTGCGCAACTTTTTGGGAATTCGCAATGGATCCCGTGCTATAGGAGAAGAAATTGTTGCAGTCAGAGTATTTCAAGGCAAGGGATCCCGTTTGCGCCATGATACTAATAAATATCATCTTTCAAAATTGACCGATAGCATGGGTGCGTCGCTGGATTTTCCCCATGACCGTATCTTCCAGGGAGGCAAAGCACTTTTTTCCAGGGGGAGGGGGGGGTTTTTGGGGGGGGTAGTCATCAGCAAAGAAAAAAAAATGGGATGGGTCAAATTTGAGCGATATCTAAAGCAGCTTGGCGAGTTTGTTGCCCTTTTATCGCTACGTTCTCCATGTCTTATCCTTTTTCCTTATTTGTCCTCAATATCAAAAGTCTCCAGTGACCGAGTGACACCTGTCTCGCCCCCTGGCGACGCTCGTGACAAATATCTTTTTACTTAACATTTAGAGATTATCAGGAACACCTTCCATTTGATTACTATGCTAAATGACGGCCCATAATTCAAAAATCGGCATTTTACATAGTGGGTCGCACATTAAAAATTCCCACTTCAATTTACGCCATTTAGCTGGGGTTCCTCCACAATTATGTTCTTACTACCTTGATGAAACATTCTTAAATATTCTTTGTAACTGACCACTGTGATAAATGGGTCATTTTTCCCTTTCTAGATGCTTGGCATCGTCCTATCCTTCATGCTGTGTTACTCAATCCGGAAAGGCTAAACACAGAGGCCAGTAGCTTCAAACTCATCTGAAATTTGATTTTTAAGACAGGCCAAGCCCAGAATAGAAATAGTATACTAAGTCATATTTTAGTTAAAGTCTTTTATACTGTATAAAGTGTATGCTTAAATAATACATGTATTTTGTCAACGGAAATTTATTATTGGACTGGTTCTATGGGTGGCATTAAGTGGGCAGTCTTATGCAGAAATATTGATAAAAAGATAACTTTCGTGTCCTGTTTTTCGACAAAAACACTTTTAAACCTGAAAACATGATGCTGATTACAGCCACCTGACGAGAATTCCCCTTTTTCCACTCGCCAATAAGTCTAAGGTGTGAGTATAATGTATACACTTAACATCTGTAAAGATAGCCTTGTCGGAATGGACGCCTATGTTTCAAAAATCTAATACCAAAAACTTGCTGAATGCAGCGAGTGACCCCGTAATCGGAGGAGCCTTTCATCGCCGACAGTTTGATGTTGTGATTGAAGCTGTAATGCAGTCTGGGTGAAATAATTTTAATTAAGAACATCCCCCAAAGAAATTTTAGTAGAGGATGTATACCCGCAGTTTGGGTTGACAAAAATCTAGGGATTGTCTCATGAACGAAACGCGGTATAGTTTTTTATTTAATAAGAGACCAGTTCATAACGTTGCAAGATCAGCAAAAACTACAATAGGAGAAATTAACCTTGGAATTCGATGTGAATGTGCATTGGTTCCACGAGGTTCATCAGCAACATTAATCATATGTACCTCCTCACAAATGTCCCAACTTCTTAACACCTACTGTCTTACTATTTAAAGAACATAATTGTACTGAGAACCGGCAAGCTTTGTCACTCGGAATATAAAAGTGATATAATGCAGTTAAGCCTTCCTTCCTGGCAAGGAAAAGATCCTTTTATTTACATCTCTAAATGTCTACTTCTTCATTTCTTATTTATCAGTATGTATTCTTCCTGTGAATGCAACAGGTCTTTAGGTAATAAAGACTCAGTAACTAAATCAGAAAAAAAAACCAGAACTAAAATCAATTGCATTTTCATTTATTATGCATGCCTTCCAATTTGACCAATTGATTCCGTGTGTTAATACACTGAGGGCTGGGGTATGTTGTCACCGTGTAACAACTCAATCCATATGGGTTTTGTGTGATCCAATACACCTAACCTTGCTGGCAGGCATTACACATGGTGTCGATGGGTATTTGAGACCGTCGGTGATGAAGATGATGAAATTCACCTCTCTACAGAAAATGGAGTTTTTTTTATAGTTTTGAAATGTAAAAGTTTACTTTAAAGGTCTACAACCGTTTGCATTACCGTTTCTTGACGACGTAACTCCTTGAGATCTCACCCTCTGGACGTACGATTGCAATAATGTGATTGTTGTCAGGACTTATTAATTACGACGCAAAATGTTGGAAGTTATTCTTTTGACTGCTACAAAGGTGAAACGACCTGAATGTGATGGACGAGTTGTACATGTACGATCTTGAGGTACGTTGCACAATACAAATGTTTTGATAAAACAATTAAATGGTTTATGCTGCAATAACTCTACGTTAAGGAATCAAATGCTGTCATTTATTATTTGTGAGGTACTAAACCCAATTTATTGTGATGTGCAAATACTGTACAGGGAATTAATGTGCAGAAGATGAGTTCTTATGCTCATTGCAGTAATTCTATAATTTCACAACTATAGATTGGATTTCCCAAAGTAGACGTTCCGTCTATTGCAAATATCAAGGTAGGAAATATTGACTTATAAAATATACGAAATAGACTCGAAATGCGCTAGACTGGTTCGCAGGCCAGATGAATCTGACTGTTGTCCTTCGATTGAAGGGGCAGGTAAAATAAATAAACGAAAAGGAATCCAGCCATGACCACAGATGTCTCTTAGTACATATAAACGACCGTGACCCAAATTAGGCTTCCGGTTACCATGATGACATGTTGCGTCACGAATTAATCATTTAGCCGTGGATGATGGGTAACCTAATAGATTTTATCAAGAGTCGTTGGGGTCCTCAGGGAGCCAGACTAGGGACGCACAAAATCTAAGATTAACAAAACTCAACACAAAGTTCCAAATAGCGGCGCGGCTTACTGGCAAACAGCGATAAGTGTCGGGCACTAGCGAGAGTTCAGTACAGTTCAACGCCTTATAAGGAACGTGACGAAAATATCCAGTATTTTAGGTCGCCAGCGCACACGGCCCCTTGCTAATTCAGATGTGTAGCAGCCTGTCTCACAGAAGTCTGCATGGAGGATTTGTTATAGCCAACAATAATTCTATCCCCTGACGAATAAAAACAATAACGAGGTGAAAAGCAAATTCAGCTTTCCTTTGAGTCTTGACACAGATTTCTCGATGCTAGATAGTACACTATAGAGCCATTCCATTGCAGTGGTACTAGTCCAGACATGACAATAACAGTGTAACTGTCACGTATATTTAACGAAAACCTAGGGAATTACATCAGCCGATCAGTCCATTTGAAAAATAAAGTTGTTTTCATGAATTTATTTCCAGGTCAAAACTTGACTTCGGAGAAATTCAGTAGTAAGATAGATTTTCCTGGCATAAGGGCGACTGGTCTATATTAAGGCTCCTGCTCAAGAACAATGTGCCCACGATAAAGACTATTTTTCCCTCGCCAGTTAAATGCAAATTATACTTGGCAATCCAGTGGATTGTTCGGTACATCTGAATGTTCGATGAAGTGTTTTTTGTCATGTCAGCGTTGTACTGGATTGCATAGCGGCGTTTGTTTCCGAAAGAGGCCCGTAAATTTTCCCCTCTGACAACAATTGACCAGGATGAAACTTGGCACCCTATACTGGTCGTATCTGTCTGCATGCACGTGTGTCCCTCTGATTTAAGATCTAATTTTGCTTCTAATTTTTCCTGTTCCTGTTTGTACATCTAATTGTCTTTTATGTTTATTCTTGTTTATTCTTTAAATTGTTATAAATTACCATCAGATGTGTACATCGACCCACCCCCGTGGTGCTGATGGTGAGGCTGTTAGCGGATGGTGGGATATGAGCGGTTAAAACTTGAATGATGTCAGGCACATAACGGCCCTTGTCGTGTTTCAGACTCGAATTAGATGCACTTTACTACTCCACGCCTACCCAGGCTTTGCAGGCCTTAAGAATTCATCTGTTTGCCCCACAAGGTCATGTAAATCATAAATGGATATCCTGGAGGATAGCCTGGAGGATTATAAAATGTCATTTTGTGTTCTTTTAAAACACCTAGCACCAACAGTAAGAACTGCCAATCTCAGTCTTGGCGATCGTCCGTTCATACCAAAATGTTTGTACTTTGAAACTCAATGCGCCATTTCATGGAGTATTTGGGGCGAGGCAAGGGCAAACCGCCCCCAGGCATTTTCAATTCTTTGTTTTCCTTCCCAACCAACGTAGCCTCATCTCCGAACCACACGCGCCAAAATAAATGGAAAATTTCCCCACCTCTCCAAATCCTCAAGGAGCACTGCATACCGGAAAAAAGTTCGACTGGGATGGCAAGTTAATATCGACGTATGCAACCCCAGCCACCATAAGCCGGAGTACGGCCGTTGAGGACCGCATACAGGTGGTCTCGCCTCAGGGGAG